AACAAGGTTCCATCAAGCAGGCTCAATGCCGTCTTTGTACCTTGCACTGAGGGCGTGGAGCCCTGTTCAGCAGGTCTGGAAACTGGACAGCGCTGTCCCCTCGGCACCCACCGTGCCCTGTAGGCCTCTGGTTGTTGTTGCCCCTTGGTAGTTATTCGGCCCCGGGTTGGGGTCAGCGGTCGAATGAGTCGTGAGTCGTAAAACCGTAAACCACATTTATTTTAAATTTCATATCACCTCCACTCGGGGGGGGGGGGGGGTATCAAAACATTGCACAAACAACGTCCAAGTAAAGGCCGTGAGAAAATAGTGAGTCTTACACCCCCTCTCCCAAACAACGCCGAGGTTCGCAGCGTGCCGGATCACCGCCGGCGAGTCGTTCCAGATCCTTGGGGCAACGGATTTGATCGCTCCCGACTCCCACCCAGCGTGACCCAGTCGTATGGCAGATAAGTCGGGCCCACAGGTGCATTGGTCCAAGGCCATGCAGAGCTTTAGAGACCCGAATGGTTAACTTGTGCTGGATGCGAAAGGTGACTGGAAGCCAGTACAGATCGCGGAGAGTGGGAGGGATGTGCTCGAAGCGGCTGGCAATCGGATGGTTGTACGTTGAAAAATCGTGCTTGTGGGGGGGGGGGGGGGGGGGGGGGATTGATTCCATCATTCCTCCGGGGTGAATAAAGTGACGTACCACTCCGTGGGGAAGTCGAGAGCGGTTGTCCTATGAAGAGACTCACTCCCGCCATGGCAACGTGGACATTCCACGACTGGCTCAGGGCTGTAGACAGGAGGTGTGACCAACCGCCTCGATGCTCATTTGAGCAGGAAAGCCCTTTGACCTTAAACTGTTGATAACGGCTGCTGTGATTTGCTGTTGGTGACGCGTGGTGTGTTGTGCTGCCAGCCACAGGTGTATTGTGCTGTTGTGAGTAACAGACGTGTTGTACTGTTAGTGACGGGCAAGGTATTGTACTGTCAGTAGGGGGTGTGGTGGTGTGATGACAGTAGGGGTGTGGTGGTGTGATGACAGTAGGGGTGTGGTGGTGTGATGACAGTAGGGGTGTGGTGGTATGATGACAGTAGGGGTGTGGTGGTGTGATGACAGTAAGAGGTGTGGTGGTGTGATGTCAGTAAGAGGCGTGGTAGTGTGATGTCAGTAGGGGTGTGGTGGTGTGATGACAGTAGGGGTGTGGTGGTGTGATGACAGTAGGGGTGTGGTGGTGTGATGACAGTAGGGGTGTGGTGGTATGATGACAGTAGGGGTGTGGTGGTGTGATGACAGTAAGAGGTGTGGTGGTGTGATGTCAGTAAGAGGCGTGGTAGTGTGATGTCAGTAGGGGATGTGGTGGTGTGATGACAGTAAGAGGCGTGGTGGTGTGATGTCAGTAAGAGGCGTGGTGGTGTGATGTCAGTAGGGGTGTGGTGGTGTGATGACAGTAGGGGTGTGGTGGTGTGATGACAGTAGGGGTGTGGTGGTGTGATGTCAGTAGGGGTGTGGTGGTGTGATGACAGTAGGGGTGTGGTGGTGTGATGTCAGTAAGAGGCGTGGTGGTGTGATGTCAGTAGGGGTGTGGTGGTGTGATGTCAGTCGGGGTGTGGTGGTGTCATGTCAGTAGGGGTGTGGTGGTGTCATGTCAGTAGGGGTGTGGTGGTGTGATGACAGTAGGGGTGTGGTGGTGTGATGTCAGTAAGGGGTGTGGTGGTGTGATGTCAGTAGGGGTGTGGTGGTGTGATGTCAGTAGGGGTGTGGTGGTGTGATGACAGTAGGGGTGTGGTGGTGTGATGACAGTAGGGGTGTGGTGGTGTGATGACAGTAGGGGTGTGGTGGTGTGATGACAGTAGGGGTGTGGTGGTGTGATGTCAGTAGGGGTGTGGTGGTGTGATGACAGTAGGGGTGTGGTGGTGTGATGTCAGTAGGGGTGTGGTGGTGTGATGACAGTAGAGGTGTGGTGGTGTGATGTCAGTAGGGGTGTGGTGGTGTGATGACAGTAGGGGTGTGGTGGTGTGATGACAGTAGGGGTGTGGTGGTGTGATGTCAGTAGGGGTGTGGTGGTGTGATGACAGTAGGGGTGTGGTGGTGTGATGTCAGTAGGGGTGTGGTGGTGTGATGACAGTAGGGGTGTGGTGGTGTGATGACAGTAGGGGTGTGGTGGTATGATGTCAGTAGGAGTGTGGTGGTGATGACAGTAGGGGTGTGGTGGTGTGATGACAGTAGGGGTGTGGTGGTGTGATGTCAGTAGGGGTGTGGTGGTGTGATGACAGTAGGGGTGTGGTGGTGTGATGTCAGTAGGGGTGTGGTGGTGTGATGACAGTAGGGGTGTGGTGGTGTGATGACAGTAGGGGTGTGGTGGTGTGATGACAGTAGGGGTGTGGTGGTGTGATGACAGTAGGGGTGTGGTGGTGTGATGTCAGTAGGGGTGTGGTGGTGTGATGACAGTAGGGGTGTGGTGGTGTGATGACAGTAGGGGTGTGGTGGTGTGATGACAGTAGGGGTGTGGTGGTGTGATGTCAGTAGGGGTGTGGTGGTGTGAATGACAGTAGGGGTGTGGTGGTGTGATGTCAGTAGTGGTGTGGTGGTGTGATGACAGTAGGGGTGTGGTGGTGTGATGACAGTAGGGGTGTGGTGGTGTGATGTCAGTAGGGGTGTGGTGGTGTGATGACAGTAGGGGTGTGGTGGTGTGATGACAGTAGGTTGTGGTGGTGTGATGTCAGTAGGGGGTGTGATGACAGTAGGGGTGTGGTGGTGTGATGACAGTAGGGGTGTGGTGGTGTGATGTCAGTAGGGGTGTGGTGGTGTGATGACAGTAGGGGTGTGGTGGTGTGATGACAGTAGGGGTGTGGTGGTGTGATGTCAGTAGGGGTGTGGTGGTGTGATGACAGTAGGGGTGTGGTGGTGTGATGACAGTAGGTTGTGGTGGTGTGATGTCAGTAGGGGGTGTGATGACAGTAGGGGTGTGGTGGTGTGATGTCAGTAAGAGGTGTGGTGGTGTGATGACAGTAGGGGGTGTGGTGGTGTAATGACAGTAGGTTGTGGTGGTGTGATGTCAGTAGGGGTGTGGCGGTGTGATGACAGTAGGGATGTGGTGGTGTGATGACAGTAGGGGTGTGGTGGTGTGCTGTCAGTAAGAGGTGTGGTGGTGTGATGACAGTAGGGGTGTGGTGGTGTGATGACAGTAGGGGTGTGGTGGTGTGCTGTCAGTAAGAGGTGTGGTAGTGTGATGACAGTAGGGGTGTGGTGGTGTGATGTCAGTAGGGGTGTGGTGGTGTGATGACAGTAGCGGTGTGGTGGTGTGATGACAGTAGGGGTGTGGTGGTGTGCTGTCAGTAAGAGGTGTGGTGGTGTGATGACAGTAGGGGTGTGGTGGTGTGATGACAGTAGGGGTGTGGTGGTGTGATGACAGTAGGGGTGTGGTGGTGTGCTGTCAGTAAGAGGTGTGGTGGTGTGATGTCAGTAAGGGTGTGGTGGTGTGATGTCAGTAAGGGTGTGGTGGTGTGATGACAGTAGGGTGTGGTGGTGTGATGACAGTAGAGGTGTGGTGGTATGATGACAGTAGGGTGTGGTGGTGTGATGACAGTAGAGGTGTGGTGGTGTGATGACAGTAGGGGTGTGATGGTGTGCTGTCAGTAAGAGGTGTGGTGGTGTGATGACAGTAGAGGTGTGGTGGCGTGATGACAGTAGGGGTGTGGTGGTGTGATGACAGTAGGGGTGTGGTGCTGTGATGTCAGTAGGGGTGTGGTGGTATGATGACAGTAGGGGTGAGGTGGTGTGATGACAGTAGGGGTGTGGTGGTGTGATGACAGTAGGGTGTGGTGGTGTGATGACAGTAGGGGTGTGATGGTGTGCTGTCAGTAAGAGGTGTGGTGGTGTGATGACAGTAGAGGAGTGGTGGTGTGATGACAGTAGGGGTGTGGTGGTGTGATGACAGTAGGGGTGTGGTGGTGTGATGTCAGTATGGTTGTGGTGGTATGATGACAGTAGGGGTGAGGTGGTGTGATGACAGTAGGGGTGTGGTGGTGTGATGACAGTAGGGGTGTGGTGGTGTGATGACAGTAGGGGTGTGGTGGTGTGATGACAGTAGGGGTGTGGTGGTGTGATGTCAGTAAGGGGTGTGGTGGTGTGATGACAGTAGGGGTGTGGTGGTGTGATGTCAGTAAGGGTGTGGTGGTGTGATGACAGTAGGGGTGTGGTGGTGTGATGTCAGTAAGGGTGTGGTTGTGTGCTGTCAGTAAGGGTGTGGTGGTGTGATGTCAGTAAGGGTGTGGTGGTGTGATGTCAGTAAGGGTGTGGTGGTGTGATGTCAGTAAGGGTGTGGTGGTGTGATGACAGTAGGGGTGTGGTGGTATGATGACACTAGGGTGTAGTGGTGTGATGACAGTAGAGGTGTGGTGGTGTGATGACAGTAGGGGTGTGATGGTGTGCTGTCAGTAAGAGGTGTGGTGGTGTGATGACAGTAGAGGTGTGGTGGTGTGATGACAGTAGGGGTGTGGTGGTGTGATGACAGTAGGGGGGTGGTGCTGTGATGTCAGTAGGGGTGTGGTGGTATGATGACAGTAGGGGTGAGGTGGTGTGATGACAGTAGGGGTGTGGTGGTGTGATGACAGTAGGGTGTGGTGGTGTGATGACAGTAGGGGTGTGATGGTGTGCTGTCAGTAAGAGGTGTGGTGGTGTGATGACAGTAGAGGTGTGGTGGTGTGATGACAGTAGGGGTGTGGTGGTGTGATGACAGTAGGGGTGTGGTGGTGTGATGTCAGTAGGGGTGTGGTGGTATGATGACAGTAGGGGTGAGGTGGTGTGATGACAGTAGGGGTGTGGTGGTGTGATGACAGTAGGGGTGTGGTGGTGTGATGACAGTAGGGTGTGGTGGTGTGATGTCAGTAGGGGTGTGGTGGTATGATGACAGTAGGGGTGAGGTGGTGTGATGACAGTAGGGGTGTGGTGGTGTGATGACAGTAGGGTGTGGTGGTGTGCTGTCAGTAAGAGGTGTGATGCTGTGCCGCAGATCGAGTGGCACGAGAGGCCCCGGATCCTGCAGCGTGGGTCATGGACCCTGGCCGTTCCTTCCAAGGAGGAGCAGTTCTTCCGCAGCGTCAGGTAAGCGAGGTCACCTGTGCCCATTCACTCTGCATCTCTCGCACTCTTCGCGTGTTTGTGTGTTTTTAAACTCAACTAAAACTTTTTTTTATTTTACCAGGTAAGGCCAACTGAGCTGTATAGCTCTTTTTCAGATCTGACCTGACGACGAATGACATTGCGACAGTGGCTTATCGCGTGGAACACTCTAAATGCGTGCTTGTAAATGTGGAGCGCAAAAACCAGAGTGACCCGGAGAAAAATCCACACGACCGTAGGGAAAATGTGCAAACTTCAAATATACAGCAGCAGGCATCGTCGGGGTTGGCATCGACCCCACAACCTCCTGCATTCCAGGCGTGGTAGTGAACATCTCCTAGCCACCGAGTCATCCTATGAGAGATGCAGGCCAGGGTGAAATATAAGTTGCAAATGGAGTTGTGCATGACCAGATTTGTGCTACAGTGCGTTCACAAACATGGCATATTTCACGCACCTACGATTAGCGCGGTTGGCTACGTATGGTGCGAAAGAAGTTCAGCATTCATACAAGACAACAGATTCGCTGTTTAGGGATGGTGTGGCCAGAATCCGCGCACGCAAGGCGGCGTTTTGTAGACCGCCACTGCAGGAGGTGTTCTTTTTAAAGTGCAAATTAACATAAATATAATTGGCCAAACTACCCCATGCACGGAACCCTTTCAAGGATAGTTTCAAATCAATCTTCATTTCAAGTGCCCGATATCGCCTCCTGATGAAGTAGGCATCGGTGCACATTACAGCAGAAGGGGAACGGTACAGGGGGTCAGGGAGCAACAGAATTTAAAAAAGAAACCCGCCGCGACCTCGCAGCGGCGAACACAGCCTGAGCAAAGTAAAATTGCTACCGCGCGTAAAATGAAATGGCATTCTTGAGACTCAAAGCTTCCTTGGATAAAAGGTCATTGGTCATTAATATTTTATTAAGCCGCCTAAGTTGACTTAGCAGAGGCTCAGGGCAACTTTTGATGTCGATTGCCACGAGTGTTGTGGACGGTCAGGGATTGAAGCCCGTACGACTGGATCATTGTCCATTGAACTAACCGACATTTCCTCCTCAGCACACATTTATGTAAGAGGAACATTCACAGTCAGCTTGCCTGGGAAATGCTATTAGCAAGGGAACGGCTTTGTCTTTGCTTTTTGCTGATGTTGACTATACAGAACAACATCTATTGCTGAGTTGACTTAGGGAAGGCCCGCTTCAGCTTCAGATACGAATATCAATGAGCGATGTAGTTTGCCCAGTAAATGCACGTAGGCTACGGAGATGCACAGCATTGCGTGAACCGCTGTACCACCGCTCCCTGCGCGCTGCTGCCCCTGACTGCCCTGGTTGCCTCGGTGCCTCTGGCACTTGGCTGCACTTGCCTGTGGCTCCTGTTTCTGCGGTGACCCTGGGACTCATCGATGCTGCCCCGGTAACTGTGGGATTTGTCGGTGCTGCCCTGAATGCCCCATTGCCGCCGGGACTCCCAGTGCTCCAGGTCAGGTTAGCACTCGAGTTGTTGGCCCAAATAACGGCTTATCGGTACCCTCTCATGGTGGCAAATGCTAATGATGGATTTTTTTTGGGAGCATTTTAATGGCGGATCACAAATGTGCATGCTAGCGAGGTCATGTGGGTGGCTTTTCTGTTTTGCACGGTTGGCTACGCACGGTGTGATAGACGTTCAACGTGTAATTTTGTTTCAGGAAAAAGGACAAAATTTCACACAAAACGTCTATGGAATATGAAGGTTTTACTTGCGTCTATTAATAAGATGGTTCTCTACACTCAGTTTTCTGCTCATGGTACATATTGACCATGGTACATAGCGAGCATTTGCCACCCTGGCTGGTGCCGAGGAACCGTCTTGGCAGGTGGGCAAGTCAGGCAGAGAGCTACATCTCTGCCTCGGCAGCCAAAAAATACGAGCAGCCTCCCAGAAGAGGCGCTCTGGGTGTGAACCCCCAGCCGCACACCCAGCGGCACATTTATCTGCACCCCCCCCGCTCCCCTATTGTTCTCTTATTTTATTATGGGGCACCGCAGTGGTGAGATGTTAACTGATAATTGGTTTTTACCCTTCCATCTGGCAACAAAACTGACACCTTTTTTTACAAGGAGTCATGTTTGCATAGACCACAATACCTGCAGTCATAATGCAAACAAAAAACATAACTCTGATAATGTGCACTGTCCTTGAAGTTTATTGGTCCACACCCTAGACAGCTTTCCTTAGAGCCTAGTCTCATGGGTTGGACCAGATGACGCCTGGTATACACGAGGTCGTGGGCTCCATCCCGACCCAGACGACTGTTGTATATTTGGAGTTTTCGTCTTTCTCTCTCATCAACATCACAGTGGCTATGAGATGTTAACTCCCTCACCTGGTATACATGAGGTCGTGGGTTCCATCCCGACCCTGACGACTGCTGTATATTTGAAGTTTGCGTCTTTCTCTCTCATCAACATCACGGTGGCTATGAGATGTGAACTAACCTGGCCTGGTATACAGGAGGTCGTGGGTTCCATCCCGACCCTGACGACTGCTGTATATTTGGAGTTTGCGTCTTTCTCTCTCATCAACATCACGGTGGCTATGAGACGTGAACTAACCTGGCCTGGTATACATGAGGTCCTGGGTTCCATCCTGACCCTGACGACTGCTGTATATTTGGAGTTTGCGTCTCTCTCTCTCATCAACATCACGGTGGCTATGAGATGTGAACTAACCTGGCCTGGTATACAGGAGGTCGTGGGTTCCATCCCGACCCTGACGACTGCTGGATATTTGGAGTTTGCGTGTTCTCCCCCTGGTCGTGGGGATTTTTGTCCGGGTCCTCTGGGTTTTCCCTCCGTATTTACAAACTTGCGTTTAGAGTATTTGGCTGCTATCAATTTCTGATAAGCCACTTCATTGAGCTATCATTTATTGCCAAGTTGCTTATAAAATAGAGCTATATAGCTCAGTGGGTCTTACCTGGTACAATAACAAGTTGAGTTTTAGTTTAGTTTACTCTTGAGAATGCGAGGTGCCATTTAATGCCCATTTACAGCAGCAACATCAAAGTGTCGCCCTGCTCAAATGACCCCTGGGTTGGCCCTGAAGTCGTGACATATCATTCTCTTCTAAAATAAGTAATATTTATAAATACTTTTTAAAAACGCGCTTTAATGAAATGTACCGTACGAGTAATGGCAGAACTCCACGACTCCAGAAAGTGGCCCCGAGGCTTGCCATAACGTAAGGGGCCGTGATGATTTACAGCCAAAGTCAGTTGAGCGTGGACAATTAGACCCAAGCCGAAACATAACATATAAAAAAGAATGTTTAAAAATACTTTGTTTATTTGTTTTATATAATATAGTATTGTCATCAGTAAGACATAAGTATACAAAGTTTGCAGTCGATACCACATTGGGAAGTGGGTTAAAATTTAGTTACAAGATTTTAGGATACGACAACAACAGACAGAGTGAGTTCATAGAAAGCGTGTAAAAAGATCGTTGAAAAATGTTGTATTAATTTTTTATGATAGAATATGGTATTGTCATCAGTATGACATAAGTATACCAAGTTTGCAGTCGATACCACTTTGGGAAGTGGGTTAAATTTGAGTTACAAGATTTGAGGATACGACAGCAAAAACAGTGAGTTAAATAAAAGCATGTTAAAAAAGAGAGCTATATAGCTCAGTGGGCTTCAACTAGTAAAAGAGAAAAAACATCTTTAGTTTACTAGTTTACTTTCAAGTTGTATTTATTGATCGCCTGGTCATGCCACCTGCAATTACAAAACTCGTGCTGGAGCCTCGCTGCCTGCATGAGCTGAAGCCACGGACCGTGCCTGCTCCACTGGTGGGCTCATCGACGCTGGACTTGGCCTCATCGGCCCTGGGTTGAGCTCTCTCCGTCTCTCGCCCTCCGCCCACGTTGACTCACCCGCTCCCTTGCGTCTGCTGGTCGTGTCTTTTCGTACGGCACATTCTTGTGCCACCTTCTTATGTCCACGTGTCTACTTATACTGGTAGGAACCTCCTGGTTACACCAGCCCACAGAGGATTATTGTGTCCGTCCGTCCGTCGTGCAGGGCGGGGCTGGGTGGGGAGGGAGAGGCTGGGTGGGGAGGGGAGGGGAGGGTGGGGAGAGGTTGGGTGGGAGGGGTGGGGCTGGTCGGGGAGGGGCAGGTCACCCCGTGGTGCCCTTATAAAACTCAACGTTTAACCTACTCACGCCGGCTTGTGCCCGCCCTCACAGTCGGGCATATTTGCGGAATACACCACGCCGCCGTTGACCCTGGCCATTGACCGAGCAACCCAACGTTCCTACCAGCTCCCTCCGCAGGAATGTGTTTATGTCCAGCTCTGTCCACTTCCTGTGTCACCTTCCTGCGTATCCTAGCCCAGTTTTGTCTCTACTTGTGTAAAGCTTCTTGGGATGCAATTGTATTTCGATGTTCTACAAATTCAATGTATTATGAGAATTGTTATTATGTAACACGTATGATGTTTGCATATGAGCGACAGCTGATGCAAGTAAATGCTGCATAAACACTTCTCACTTACAGTAGATCAGCCTGTTTCTGAACAATGTCTCTACAGATTATTGGAATATAATCGACACGATAACACAGCAGTCGCCCGATAATGTAGTTAACAAAACCAATACTATCCACATTAACACATTTCTAACAAAAAAAGAATTACTAAAAATAATTTTGACCGTGCCATAATTCATCTTTTCATTGTTTTGCTGGCAATGAATAGTTTTTTTTACTGAACAAACACTTTTCAATACTTCCTATCCAAATTTATGCATCTGGAACGGGTGGGTCTTACAGTTGTAAGTAAAAAAAACTTTGCACGCAAACAAAATATAGTTTTTGGACTCCGCTGAATTTGTTAGCGTGTGAGTTTGTGGAATATGGCAATCCATTAACCTGTTTTACACCTGGAACAATGAACGCGAGACTCCAGGCGCAAACGTGTATTTTATT